AGTGAAGGACAGGAAGGCCTGGCGCGATATGGTTCATGGGGTCACAAAGAGTCAGACACGATTTAACGACTGAACAACAATAGTGGGCAGAGAGGACAGTGGTGGGACGTGGTCCCAGTCAGTGGCACAGAACAGGACCTACCAGCTAAAACAATGTTTGCACCTTTTGCCTGAATGGGTGAAGGGTATTGAAAAACCAGGCAACCCAGTTACTCTTTAAGTCCATACCAACATAATTAAATTGCAGGCATTACATTAGAAGACACATTCCCTGTAATGCAGGTGCCCGGAAGGAATAAATGTTTAGAGCAATATAGATTTGGAGGAGAACAAGAATACACACAGAGCAAGCTTTTGAAGTTGAAGCAGCCACCCGGGGCAAAGATATACGTACATGCACACCCAACAGGCTATTTTCTTCCAGAGTAAACAATGTTATTATAGTGCAGAAAGGGAGTAAGTAGTGGTAAGCCAAAGAAATTAAAGGTGTTGGGTAAGAAAACAAGAATACAGCTAAATCTCATGTATACCAATACCATTCCTTGAATCTTTCTATCAGTGCAAATCATCCTTGTTTCTACCATCTCCATATACCTTGCCTTTTCTTCTTTAAACTTCTTGCCTCTTTTTGAAAATCTAATTAATTCTGCCCAGCTCTAGCTTCCTTTCTTCCTCTTGATCCATTCACTCTTCATTTATTTGCCTTGAATTTCAATCCTTCCATTCCTTCTGTATGACCAAACCAGCCACACACTCTTGTATTCAGCCTGCACCCATATAGTACTCATTCATTTTTGCCTCTACCTCTTCTTGGTTTACCATACAATGCTTCTTAAATACCCCCTTTCCCCACTGCATTTAACTTACTTTGATGTTTCTTCCAACAAACCCAGCTCTAGCTTCCATATAATAAACTGATGGAAACATGTTCTTCTACATGGCTAATTTAGGCTTTTTCAACACACATTCATTCCTTGGAACAGACCATGTACTACCCATTAGCTTACCACCAGCATTTACAGAACTTAAATTTTCTCCATTTTACCATCTTTAGTAACCATTTCACCAAAGGATACAAATTCATCTATTTGCTCTAGTTTTTTGCCATGTATGTATAAGTTGCAACTGTTCACTCCATTATCCCTACAAACACAATTACTTTAATCTTTAATACATTAGTCTTTGGGACTTCGGGGAAGAAATGGTGAACTGAAAACAGCTTCTGCTGAAAGCGGAGCCAAAAACTGTGGCAGAATGAAGAGTTGGCGAGTAGACCAGCTCTTCGTAATTCCCCTCCAGACAAAGAGAGGACTTGAGATCGCCCACAAGTGTTCCAGGCAGCTGCAAGATGGCGGTTCCTGGAGGGTTTAGAGCACTGAGAGACAAGGGAATAGCCATCTTGCTCAAACCGCAGTTGGTACCTTTGAAAAGATACTAAGTTTGCATACTTCCTTTTCTAATCATTTTCAGAAATTGCTTGTTAGCTGCTTTTCAGCTATTAGGAACCTTTGGATTGACAAGTTTGACAGGTCTGATTGAGTTTACTTCAATCCTTAGTGAAAGAAGTTTTAAACACTAGGGAATTAAAAAAAAAAATTTTTTTTTTGAATAAACAGCGAAAGGGTGATTGGAACTTTGATTTTGGGAAGTTACAAATGGACTAAGGGCCCAGATGGATTTAAAATAAGATTTTTGGAATTAATTATAAAGAATCCTTCCCGTGGGAAAATGCTTTTGTTTTGAATTAAAAAAAATGATAGGATAGAGAGAACAAGAAAGAACTAAAGAGCAAAGGAGAACACTTAAATTTGGCTTACTAATACAGAATGGAGCAAAATATTTTAAATTGGACATGTTGAAGGATATTTTTGAACAATGGACCCAGAAATTAATTTTAATAGTATCTGCCTTTATAGATAGACTGTGTTTAAAAGATGTTATGGAAGAAAAACAAGTTCTCTGAAAAAAAATAAAGCATATTGCAATTAGCCTATGGGGCTATGACTTTTGGTATACCCTGTATATCACATTCCTTCAAGCTAGTCTATACAACCCACCCCAGGATTGGTAGTTGGAGGAAGAATCTTTACTTTCATCCCCTTCCAGCATCATCACCTTAAATCTCTTTTTCTGCCTACTGCAACAGAATAGCAACCCAACAGTTCTGAGCAAGGAGTAAAGCAACATTACCCGGGTTGCAACTGAAGAGAAGGGATTTAACACTTAAGGGTACTCATTTAGCCTGTGCTTTAGTAAGCCGATCATGCTCATATGAGTCTCCCACTTCCAGGACAGACCATGAAAAAAGAATAGTTCCACCTGGTACTCAGGTAGATTGGGCCCACACAGAACCTGAACGCCAAGAATTAACTTGAGAGCAGAATGCTTACAAATATTAATTGGGGATGGTTCCAATGGAGGAGAATATCTGTAGCCCAGGGTTGAACTGTGGAGTCCTTGGTGCTCTCTGAG